GACCCAACAGGGCTGTGACCAGGTGAATCTGCTCAGCCTGGTGGCAGAGCTGAAGGAGGAAGTGGAAAGGCTAAGGAGTATCAGGGAGTGTGAGAGGGAGGTAGATTGGTGGAGCAACACCCTACCATCCCTGGGGCCAAGGCAGCAGATGGAGGCCCCACAAGGAGCAGAGGATCCCCTACCCTCTTGCCAGCAAGCAGAAGGAGGGGATCTAAGAGGCGGCGGGGAATGGAAACAGGTCCCTGCGCAGGGCAGCAGGCGAATCCCCTCCCGGCCTCCCTCATCTTCCCAGTTGCCCCTACACAACAGATACAGGGCTCTGGAACTTGAGGGCCAGGCAAATGAAGAGGTAGATGAAGGTCCAGCTAGGGGGTTGCTGAGGGCAAGTCAGTCAGCCCCACGCATTACGACTGCCCCTGTTAAGAAAAAAAGGAGGGTAACTGTTGTAGGTGATTCCCTCCTGTGGGGAACAGAGGGCCCAATATGCCGTCCAGACCCATCCCACAGGGAAGTCTGCTGTCTCCCTGGGGCCCGGGTTAGGGATGTTAGTAAGAAACTCCCCAATCTGGTACAGCCCTCTGATTATTACCCACTGCTGGTTATGCAGGTTGGCAGTGATGAGGTTGCAGAGAGAAGTCCTAAAGCGATCCAAAGGTACTTCAGAGCACTGGGACGATTGGTTGCAGGATTGGAAGCACAGGTAGTGTTTTCCTCTATCCTGTCAGTGGCAGGGAAGCATGCTGAAAGGAACAGGAAAGCTCACCTGATTAACAAGTGGCTCAGAGGCTGGTGGCATTGGTGGAATTTTGGTTTTTTTGATCATGGGGAGGTTTACATGGCACCAGGCCTGCTGGCTGCAGACAGAGTTCTGCTGTCTCCAAAGGGGAAAAGGATTCTCGCTCATGAGTTGACGGGACTCATCGAGAGGGCTTTAAACTAGGTTCAAAGGGGGAAGGGGATATAACCAGGCTCACTAGAGAGGAACCCGAGGGTGGCATGGCAACATTGGGTGTGAAATCGATAGCCTGGCTCAAGTGCATCTACACCAATGCACGTAGCATGGGCAACAAACAGGAGGAGCTGGAAGCCATTGTGCAGCAAGTTAGCTACAACTTAGTTGCCATCACAGAAACATGGTGGGATAGCTCTCATGACTGGAGTGCTGCACTGGATGGCTATAAGCTCTTCAGAAGGGATAGGCAAGGAAGGAGAAGCGGTGGGGTGGCTCTGTATGTTAGGGAGTGTTTTGATTGTATAGAGTTCAATGTTTTTACAAATACATTCACAACAAAAAGCTAAGGAGAATCTCCATCCTTTGTTGGATGCGGGGGGGGAACATTGTCATCAAGGATCCGGAAAAGGCTGAGGTACTTAATGCCTTCTTTGCCTCTGTCTTTAATAGCCAGGCCAGTTATCCCCAGGGTGATTAGCCCCCTGAGCTCGAAGACAGGGACGGAGAGCAGAATAAACCTCTCCATAATCCAGGAGGAAGCAGTTAATGACCTGCTACACCACCTGGACACTCACAAGTCTATTGGGCCAGAGGCCAGATGGGATCCACCCGAGAGTACTGAGGGAGCTGGCAGAGGAGCTTATGAAGCCACTTTCCATCATCTATCAGCAGTCCTCGCTAACAGGGGAGGTCCCTGATGACTGGAGGCTTGACAATGTGAAGCACACCATCAAGAAGGGCCGGAAAGAGGAGGCCAGAAGGAGGATCCGGGGAACTACAGGCCTGTCAGCCTGACCTCAGTGCCAGGAAAGATTATGGAGCGGGTCATCTTGAGTGCACTCAACAGGCACGTGCAGGTCAACCAAGGGATCGGGCCCAACCAGCATGAAAGGCAGGTCCTGCTTGACCAACCTGATCTCCTTCTATGACCTGGTGACCTGCCTGGTGGATGAAGGAAAGGCTGTGGATGTCATCTACCTGGACTTCAGTAAAGCCTTTGACACTGTCTCACACAGCATTCTCCTAAAGAAGCTGGCAGGTCATGGCTTGGATGGGTGTACTCTTCGCTGGATAAAATACTGGCTGGGCGGCCGAGCCCAAGGAGTTGTGGTGAATAGAGTTAAATCCAGTTGGCGAGGGGGCACAAGCAGGGTTCCCCAGGGCCCAGTTTTGGGGACAGTCTTGTTTAATCT